AATAAGCTATAGAAGGGACTGCTGAACTCACCAGGTGTAGCCAGCCCATAAGCAGTGGGATCCTGCTTGTGATGTGGCTGGCTTGTATCCTTTCTCTTGGAGTAGAAAAGGAGCTGGTTTTTTTTTTTTTCTGGAATGAAAAGCTGTGTCAAAGCACTTGGAAAGAGGGTGAGAACTGGCAATCCTGGAGCCTCCAGTGCAGCTCAGTGTCACGACTCAATTAACTGACCTCCCAGTCACTGTTCTACCCTGAGTTGAGTAATTTCTGAATGTAAAATTTTTGGTTTCAGCATTGCTGGCTTTGAATTGCTTTTTAAATTTTAACTCCTGTTGTGGTAGGGATGTTGTGTTTTCCTTGGGTTCCTGAGACTTATGAGTGTTTTCAGTATTCTGCATTGTTTTCTTTGCCGTGGTGTCAGTGGAACTTTGCTCAGGAAGAAAACCGTATTGGCAGCTAACAGTGTTGTATGATAGCAGCTGTAGTTGCTTTCTGTTTCAGTTAGCACCTCACAGTTCAGGGGAAAGGGATGGGAGTTCAGCCAAAAGGCAGAGCTCTTCCTGAACAGGTTTCTTGGATTTTGTTGCCCCAAAGCCCGAGCATTCTGGTGAATTTGGCTAACTTTGCAAGCCTGTAAATACATCCGAGGGCTTATGTTTAGTTTTATGTTTGCAAATGGGAGTCAGCCCAAGAGCTGAGAATGACAGGTCTGCTTGTTGTGTTCTGGTTTAGAATGTGCGTGCATGAAGATTGCTTGGCTTTGAGAGTGTCAAGGCTAGTGTGCAATGGTTCATCAAGATGACAAAGCTATGCACAGGAATATTTAGTGAGTATGGGATCAAAAACTGCGGGTTCTTTGTGTGAGCAGTTTTGACTGAAGCTTCATGATTGCCTTGTTGTGGGGCTCTTCTGTGGTGCCATTTCTCCATTTCCATGGGAACAGACGTGTTCTTGTTGATAAGAGTTCTGTTATCAAGCTAGGAAATTGGCAGGCAGCAGTTGAACCACTGTTACTGTAAAGCTGGGCTGAATACAGACTGAGGACATCACATGGCAGTATGTGTTCAAATATAATGGGTAAAAATATCCTTCCTTCTTCCTCTTCCTTGGTGCACATGGAAAGGAAGAGTCACTCTGCTACAGGCTTGATTGGATCTACAGCAGGTATAGGAACTGGCTGCAGAGAACTGCTTTGATTTGGCCTTCACAAAGAGCAGCAATTTGTAACAGTTAATAAGATAAAAATAGGTGTTTGTGCCATTTTAGGTTCTTTTTTTTTTTTTTTTTTACAGACTCTGAAGGTTATTTGATTTGGAATAATCTCTGCTTAATTTTGTTGCTTAATTTATCTGCATTCAGTTATATGTGGGGGAGTTCTTGGAGCAAAATTCAGTGATATATACAATGCTTTATCTATATGCTTTATTTTATAGCTTTGGGAAGTCTAGAAAAATCTTATGATAGTTTAAGGATATTTTTCTTAGAGGTGTAGATCTGGTTTTTAAGTATATCCAAATAAGAAATTGCAATCCTGATAATTATCTGGAAATCTGGAAGCCAGCTGAAGATTTGGGACAGATGACCTGACTGGATGCTTAAAATATTTTGCAACAAAATGGCTTAATTACTTAAGATCTGTTCTGTCATTTCTGTGGGTTTAAGAATAAAAGAAAAATGAGAGCAATTTTAGATGCAAACATCTAGGCTGGATGCCCCTGTGCAAAGATTTATGTGCTCTTGTCTTACTGCTTAATTGCATTTCTGCAGTGGATAGTAATGGTGCAATTCTGGAAGCTGAAATTTTGACTCTTTTGTAGCTGTCATAGCAATAGTAAAAAATTGGTAGCAGCCATCACAATTGCTGCCTCCTGACTGCACAGTTGTCATGGTTTTAAGGTACTGCAGTGCAAGTCACTTCTGCTCAACTAAGTGTTGGGAGCAGTCCAAGGGATGCTTATTTTTAAATGCTGTCAGAACAAATGATTTTTGTAGGTATCTGTGTTCTGGAGGTGACTTCTCTAAATGAGATTTGAACATAGACCTTTCTAGAGAAATATAGTAAGTTCTGTATGGCTAAAATTACTAAGGAACGGGCAACCAGTTATGGAGATATGTCGGTCTTAAGTGAAGCAGCAAGAAGTCCTTGGAGCAAAGCAAGCTCCAAGTGGAGGGGAGCTGTAGAGGATTTATCACTGTAGTGAAAGCCTCCTGAAAAGGTGGTGTGGGGATATGTGTAGGCAGTTTGTCTTACTATGCCTTTCATCCTGCTGTTCTTTTGTTTTATCACAAAACATGTAACATACCAGTGAGGGAGCACTGCAGAGGCATTTGGTTGGAGGGCAAGCATTAATGAGTACCACAAGCCTGATGTGATTTGGCTCCTCCAAATCTATTAGTGTATCTTAAGAGCCAGATAAAACTCAAATTCTTTAGAATTTTGGTATCTTTGATACCTGCTGCTAAAAGCACAGATATGTGGTAATATCCTGCATATGCAACTGCGGGATATTTTTAAAGAGCTGACTGCCATATCCCTTTACTGCACTGTAATAATGGTAATGGAATGGGTTTGTGATATGCAATCTTACAATGAGTTTGGTCTGTGCTGTCTTTGATAAGCATTGCATAAGAAAGAACATCAAAATATGTTGTATTTGTGTTATTTTGTACAATGACTACAATGATGGCTCCTAGGACATATAATACCAAACTTCTGATCATACAAGCTATGTGCCAAAATCTTTGTATCACAGAATGGCTTGGGTTGGAAAGGACCTCAAGGATCATCCAGTTCCAAACCCCCTGCCAGACGCGGGGTTGCCAGCTGCTGGATCAAGCAGTAGATCAGGTTGCCTAGGCCCCATCCAGCCCAGCCTTGAGCACCTCCAGGGATGGGGCACCCATAATATCTCTGGGCAACCTGTTCCAGCACCTCACCACCTTCTCAGTGAAAAACTTTCTCCTCTAAATCTCCCCTCCTTTATTTGAAAACCATTTCCACTTGCCCTATCGCTACACATGTGAAAAGTTGATATCACTCCTGTTTATAATCTCCCTTTAGATATTGGAAGGCCATAAAGATGTCTTTCTGCACCCTTCTCTTCTCCAGACTGAACAAGCCCAGCTTGCTCAGCCTGTCTTCACAGGAGAGGTGCTCCAGCGCTCTGATCATACTCATGGCTCTCCACTGGACCCTTTCTAAAAGCTCCACATCTTTCCTGTGTTGGGGGTCCCAGATCTGGACCCAGTACTCCAGATGGTGCCTCACAGGGGCAGAGAGTAAGGGGGATGATCACCTCCCTTGTCCTGGCCACTGCTCTTCTGATGCAGCCCTGTTTGTATGACCAAGCTGAGGATCAGGGCTTCAACCTCTGTTTCCTCAGCCTCTATACAATTCACTGTTTTTTTTTTACGTATCTGTTTTACGGTTCCATGTTCCCTGCTTAGTATCGCAGAGTTACCTATTGCTGTCATCTACATGCACTTTGTATTCTGGAATTGCATTGGTTTCTGCACAAAAATCTGCCTTGCAGTTGAGATGCACAGTAACTTCTTGCTGATAGACAAGTTAGCAGACATCAGCTGATATGTATTAGTTCTCCATGTGCAAGCCTTTACTTCAGAGTCTGTAACATAGCCATCCTTGAACTCCTTGTGACCTGTGGTCAAATTATCCTTGCTAAATGACTGAGTTGTAATGCTTATAAATAAATGGGAACTTGAAGTAGTAACTGCACAAAAGATGGTTTAAGTATATATATAAAAAAAAAAAAACCTGGAGTCTCCTTTTCAACTGAAAATTCTGAACTGGATCATAAAGATGCATATCTTTTCCTCATCTGAAGTTGTCTGGATGTGACACAGCTGTGCTCCTTATCTCATGCAATTGCTGGCACTTGGGGGCGTGCATCCTGTGTGGCTGAGAGTTGAGAAAGTCAGATGAATGATTATTATCTACTGTAATTCTCTGTGGTGTTTCAAGTTCTGTTCTTTTTGCTTCACTGAGTTTAATTTCAGTAGCTGATCAGTTTGTTGGTTTTTGTAGATCAGGCAATCAGTATTGAAGCAGGTTTGTGTATTAGTATCATGTTCTTGTTCAGATTTCTTTAAAAAAAAAAAGCAGTAGAAATTGATATGGAGTTTAACTTTCTGAAACACTTGCATCAGCTATAAGCATTTTAAAGCAAATTTTGTCTACTTTTCCTTTTTCCCTTGTGTTATCCTCCCAAGGAAGAGGAAAAAAAAAAAATTGCTTATGAAGGTGTTTTTGGTGCTTATCTTCACTGTATCTGTGTACTCTGTGATCTCTGGAGCTGCATTCATGTTGGCTTTCTCTACATTTCCTCATCTCCCCATGTTCAAGCAATGCTAATCATATGATTATGATCATATGATTTTTTGTTTTAAGCTAGAAGTATTTTTTTAAACTCAGATCTAGTTTTTTGTTGGTTCATGTTAGAGAGAAAAAAGATGACATCAAAAAGCTGAGGAGGAATGAAAATGCTGGGTGAAAAAAATATTGTTGTGGTGTTCAATTTTGAAAGGGTGTAGGGAAGTGAGCAGAATCTACGTGTTTGTTTCCAAACCCAAATCAAATTCTTCTGGGCAGAGGTAATTTCAACTGTGGTGTGTTTTTTCTTAGAGTCTAATGTTCCTTTATTTAAGAGGCTATTTTCAGTCTGCGTGCCTGCCTTGTCTGTTGCACTGTACCACTTGGCAGAAGAGTAAAGCAACAAAACTTCTAGAGAAAGTATGATTTGAAATACTGACTTGCGTATTAAAGCATGGAGTTTGGACTATTTTAAATTACTGATCCACCTTGTTGTTCTGAAGGTTGGTAAAATGCAGTGGAGCAGGATGGCCTACAGCATGTTTTTAAGGGCTCATCTTACGTGAGCAATCTTTGAAACACAAATAGAAAGAATAAGCTAGTATATCTTTGTCTGTTTTGCTGTAACTTGAAATGTGGTAAGCTTATTTTTTCATTTTTTGTTTCCTTCAGGTTTTGAATGAAGAATGTGATCAGAATTGGTACAAGGCAGAACTCAATGGAAAAGATGGCTTCATTCCCAAGAACTATATAGAAATGAAGCCACATCCGTAAGTAGAGTTCTGGTGATAGTTCCTGTGAGTTTGGTGGATTTTAAGCATAATTCAACTCTTTCTGAAGACATTTAAACTGCTGATGGCATCTGGATCATGTTAGCTTTGTATGTCAGCAATGCCGGAGGTCTTTGTTAGTGCATTAACAACCTGGGGAGGTTATGCAGAAGTTTACATAGTGTCATGTTTACTGAGCAGTAATGCAGATCTCTCTAAGTAGTCCAGCAGGGAATACAAAAACAAACTGCAGCCACATGTAAGAAGGAGAATGTTCCTTTTCTTAGGCTGGTATCAGTGTTGTGGGAAGGAGGTGAGTACTTTTCAAGAGAATTTAGAAGGAAAGTAACTGGAAATGCTTTTAAATGTTAGTCCTGTCCAAGGATCTGAGACTTAAATCCTCCAGCTCCATTTCTTGTATTAAACAGTGTTCATTTTTGCTTGTATTCTGTAAATCTTCCAATTTTCTTTTTAACTGCTAGCAGATGAGACTGAAAGGGAAATGTAGCATATCATAGTCACCTGCTGGATCACCTGGATTTCATAGGGTTAATCCAAATCTCATGTTAATTAACAAAGAGAATGTGTAAGTATATATAGGTACTGATAATCAGTGGACAGCTATAGGAAACTCTGGGCAGGGAGGCTGCCTATGAAGGCTCAGCTGTGCCACTCAGGGGATAGGACTACCTTTTTGCTTATAAGGGGGCAGGGCAAGAACTTCTGTTTATGAAATGGCCTGAATCAGGCTTGTGGTGTGTCCAAGTCTGTATTCTTCATCAACTGCTTATAAAGATATTGCTGAAATCTTACTCTGCAAAAATTGTAACTTATGTGGAAGAAAGAAGCCAAGCTAAAATGGTTGCGTTAAGTGAAGCCGAAAGAATTGTTGAGCTGCTGATTGAAAGGAGTCTGAATGTGGTACGAACTTTGCATTGTACCAGTTGACAGATCTCCCTCTTGCAGTGCAGTATCAGAAGTAATAGCTGCATTTGGTTTTGCAGTGCTAACTGGATGAGCTACATTACAAAGCTAGTTGGAGGTGAGTGTTAGAAAGGATTATCAAGTTTGGCCATTTAGAAAGGAAGCTCTCGGAATGTCAGTTTCTTGGATGTGCTATGTTTTTTATTTTCTGAACCATTCTGTAGCAAAGATCAACGTGTGCGGAACATTTCTGGTGCTTTGTGTTCATGTCTGTAATTGGGCAGTAGTTCTTCAAAATTACTTTCTTTGACCTGTGGAGTTTTCTTTCTCTAAATCTTTTTATGTTTAAAAATCAGTCTTTGCTGCTGTGTGAGTGACTGATGTTGCAATGAAGTCATAAAACTGCAGTAGAGTTTTATGGGTTGTGGAAGATCTCTTAATCTTCCTACTTCAGCTAAGAAGCGTTGGAAGCAGTAGGCAGAAAATTTTATATTGTTGATTATGTTACTTTCGTTAATCAAATAATAGTTATACTTGATGACAATCCAGCACAATTGAGGGGAAAACTAGTGTGTGTTTTTGAGGCTTCAAGAGGATTAATAGAAGTTCTGTTGAGTTCTTCCAGATTTTATTTCTATTTTACAGAGATGAGTGAGGTTTTGGGGTTTTTTTTTAAGCTGAGGCTTTCATTTACAAGTAGTATGTGAGTAACTGATAGTTATTTGAGAACAGAATTAAAACACTTTGTAAACAAACTGTGGCAGGATATCTAAAATCATAAGATAAAGTTTGCTTTATGCAACATTTGGCAAAGGTGAAATTCAGAGCTTTCTTGTCTTGACAACTGTGCCAAAATCCTGGAAAAAAAATACTACATTGGAACTCTGAAAGACCTTGACGTAATGATTTCTCTTGGGTAATTTTGGAGGCAGTACAGTGCAGTAAGACAGGTAATGTTCCTCTGCTGGCTCTGCCACAATCTCGGGTACCAAGAGCCTTATCGAATACTGCAGTCTTTTTCTAGCTTTAGAGATTGTTATTTTGAGAGGGAGACCATGGTTTCATAAAAGCTTTAACTTCTCTTAAGAAAGAAGCTTCATAACTATCACTGAAACAGAGACCATTTTTTTGCTGTACCAAAACCTACCCTGTGAGAAGCAGTACCTGGTGTAGGGAACCTGCTTTGGCAGGGGGTTGGACTCGATCTCTGGAGGTCCCTTCCAACCCCTACAATTCTGTGATTCTGTGAAATCTTTTAAGTGGAGCTGTTTAGTACTACTCTCTAACTTCAATCATCTGTGTGGTTAAAGGCTGTGGTAAGTGCATCCCTCCTGTGTGATCCATTACTCAGAACTGAAAGTTATGCTTTTTGGTTCTGAAGATAGTTCTGTTTTTCCCACATCATGTGACCTACTGCTCAGCCCTTGTTTGCCTTTAAGCTTGGGTTAGTCTGGAAACACAAATGTAAATTGGGATGAGAATCCTGTGACCACAGGATGTTAGTGGGCACTAATGGTTTAGTTGCCTGATGTAGGTTCACTCTTGGTGCTGTACAGGTGGTCAGCCTATGGCTGACTTATGTGCAGCTGTCAAGTTCTGATTTGACTTCCATGCTGCAGCTGTTTCATGTGACTGTTTATGTGAAAGCTGTCAGGTTGTCCTGACAGAAGGAGAAGACAAAAAAAAAATAGACTACTAAAACAAGTTTTTTTCAGCATCTTTTTTAGAGCTCAATTACACACCCAACTCAACAGTCATCTTATAATGAAACAGAGACCTTGAGGGAACTTTCCTCACTTGTTCTCAATCTTGTTTCTACAACTTGATGTCTCTGAATAAACCTGAAGGCGAACTCCTGGTGTTTCCCTTCTGTTTTGCAAAAGCTGAAATTCTTTTTTTTTTTTTTTTTAAGGTTTCAGTGTGATAGAAGTGACTCTACCACATCCCTGGGCAGCCCATTCCAGCACCTGACCACTCTCCTGGAGAAGTAGTATTTCCTAATGTCAAATCTGAATCTCCCCTGGTGCAACTTGAGGCTGTTGCCTCTTGTCCTATTGATAGTTACATGTAAGAAGAGACCCTGCTCCCACCTCACCACAACTTCCCTTTAAGTAGTTGTAGAGAGCAGTAACCTCACCGCTGATTGTGTTCTCCAAACTAGTCCCAGCTCTCTCAGCTGTTCCTCATAAGGCCTGCAGTCCACACCCCTCACCAGCTTTGTTGCCCTTCTCTGGATGTGTTCCAGGTCCTCGATGTCTTTAACGTAGTGGTAGGTCCAAAACTGAGTTCAGTACTCAAGGTGCAGCCACACCAGTGATGATCACTTTCCTGCTACTGCTGGCTGTGCTACTTCTGATAAAAGCAAGGATGTCATTGGCCTTCTTGGCCACCTGGGCACCATGATTGCTCTTATTCAGCCAGATGTTGACCCGATACCCCCAGGTCTGTTTCCTCTGCATGGTCTTCCAGCTACTCTGCCCTGAGCCTGTAGCATTGCCTGGTTGCGGCCAAAGTGTAGGACTCGGTGCGTGATCTTGTTGAACTTCGTCTCATTGGCCTCAGCCCAGTTATCCAGTCTGTCCAAATCACTCTGTAGGACCTTCTTATCCCTAGGCAGATGAACACTTCCTGCCAACTTGGTGTCATCTGCAATGACTAAGGCACGAGTGGCTTCTCCTTAGGAGGCCTAAGTAATAAAGGAGTGTGTGTAATTTCTCCCCGGTGATTATTTTTGAGCAATAGTAGTGAAACAAATGCTTTTGTATCATACTCTTCCCTCGTGTAACTAGTGATAGGATTAGAGAGAATGGCCTCAAGTTGTGCCAGGGGAGATTCAGGCTGGATGTTAGGAAATACTGCTTTTCTGGAAAAAGTGGTTAGGTGCTGGAACAGGCTGCCCAGGGAGGTGGTGGAGTCACTGACCCTGGAGGTGTTCAAGGAGTGTTTGGATGTGCTGAGGGCCATAGTTTAGTGAGAGCTATTGGCGATAAGTGAATGGCTGGACCTGGGTGATCGTGTAGGTTTCTTTCAACCTTGGTGATTCTGTGATTCTATGGAGAAGTAAAGTACTGACTAGCCCCAAATGCACGGGCTTTTTCATATCTAAATTGATGGCATCATACAGTTCAGGCAATTAAAATTTTGTGCGTTTGTGTCTAGACATGAGACGTTATCCTTCAGTAACAGAGGAAATGTTAGGAGTTGAGTTTCTTGCCCGAGCTAGGCATTAATGTTTGTCCTTACGTTATGGGGTCTGGTTATTAAGATCCAACGAAGACCATTAACAGACAGTTTAACTTTGTCCTAGACTGTAGCCAGCTCCCAGAATGGTCTTAGTCTCACAAAGTAGGACTTTGCTGTGAATCAGCTGTGGATGTTAGTTTTTGTGACGTTGCATATGTTAATCATATATAGGTAGAGTATGATGCAAAACTGATAACAACACACCATATTTTGAGCAGACTGGTTTTTTTTTTTTTATCCTTCTGAAAATAAATCCTTTAAATTAAGGATTTCACTCTTAGCAGCACATTTCTGCTTCCCTAAATTAGATGAAATAGGGCTGTTGTGAGCATGTGCTCATCAAGTCATGGTAGCTTCGTTGCTAGGACAAAATGTGAAAAGCTACATAGTTTGGTAGCCTGTAGTAGATTTACAATGAAATACATCCAGTTCAGTCATTTCTGCTAGGAATCATTTCACCTCAGCGTGTTTACCTGTGTCGGGCTCTTCCATAAGACAGTTCAACTTCTTAACTTTCTCTGTTGTTTCCTTTTCCTTGCTTACTCCACAGGTGGTTTTTTGGAAAAATTCCCCGGGCAAAGGCTGAAGAGATGCTAGGCAAACAGAGACATGATGGTGCCTTCCTTATCAGGGAGAGTGAGAGTGCTCCTGGGGACTTCTCTCTCTCGGTCAAGTAAGTAGTGCCCTGAAACAATTGTGTGGAAATCACTTGACGCTCATCTTGACTCCTGGATAAGTGATCATCGATACTGAGGAGCAGCAATAATCCAGATAGCATACCTATTCTTCCAGTGATATGTGGTTTTTGTCCTTATTAAAGAGGAAGTACAAATATACTCTGTTCTGTAATGAGCCTACATGGCTGAGTTGGTGGTGTGTTGCTGTCTGACTTAGGTGTTTTCAGACACTATTTGTTAATTTGTGGATCCTGTTCCTCCTCGTTTCAACTATGAACTGCCTAAAATGTGCAATTTCCCTTCCATCCTTCTTTGTTCCTCTTCCATAGCATAAGTCATTACTCTTTCCTGTATCTTTGGGTAGTACACTTTCAAATATTTTTCATGACTGCTTGACACATCCTTTGGGGATATTTGTGTTACCCAGTACTGGGACATGGAGCTATGAAAACAAATTATTTTCCATTTCTCTCAAATGCATTCTCTTAACAGGGAATTTCAGTCTAGTAACAGTGAAGTAGAGAGGAACAGTTCTCATCCTTGTATAACCTTTCTAGAAGTGCTGGCTCTTAATCAGCAGCAATTCCTGGTAGTTAGCATGTGAGCCTTGTCTAACTATCTCACAGCTCAGTATAAGCCACTATAAATAGAGGTATTAGAAACTTGGAAGACTATGGGATGTAAGGTAGCATAGGAGGGAAGGAATTCCGTCCTCAGCAGCTGATTTTTTTGTCCTTCTTAACTTTCTATAGCTTTCTCCTTTCCTTCCAGAAATGAACAGGATTTTCTTTAGAATCTTATATTGATTATTCATGCACAGTTCCGTGTTTGCTGTATTTTTGGCTCATCTTTGGTCTGTACCAAGATTTTGTCATCCTCTACAGCAGCCTTAATTATTGCCAACAAAATTGAATTAAAACTACTCATTTTAGAGAGGTGTTTATACTTCAGCTGGGTACAATAATCTGAGCTGGAATATCAGATACGTAAGGGAGCTCCATTGCAGGAACTGCTTTCCTTCGTGGAACTTAAGGTTTTTAAATGTAGCCCTGCCTGCTTTGTTAGCTTAGTGTTGCCACCTGGTGGTAGTATGTTGCTTTTTTCTGGTGGATTAATTTGGAAAAAGCATTCTTCCACTCACCCCTGAACAGTGATTTTTTTTTTTTTTTAATTTGAGATGATGACAGTCTCTCAGGTTGAAGAGGAGACAGCAAAGGCAGTACTCATTGACCGTTTCATGTTAGCTTTGTAGCCTGTTAGCTGTGTAGCCTGTGTAGACTGTGTCTGTACTCTAAACTGAGGTGTGGAAGCTCTTGATGCCAACTGGGGAATGTACTCCCTGCCAGTTTTCAGTGTTTTTGTTTCAGACTAAAGTAAAAATTCTAATATGCTGTTCGTCTGGAAAATCCTCATAGCCCTCTTTGGAGTTGCACTTTATGTAGAATAAAATAGTTGAAAAAGTAACTTCAGTTGAATGCCATCACTTGTCAGACAAATAGAAGTGGAGAAATCTGTCTGTTTTGCAAGACATCCTTTTTCATAAGTCATGAGTCCAAGCTTTGGGACAATCCTGCCCCACTTGTGGCACTTCCTTTCCCAGCACTTTCCCACTGTTGGGACTGGTGCCTTTGTATTGAAATGGTACCATGTGAGTGAGAGACTGGGATTATGCGAAGTACAGGTCCATAGTAAGAGTAGTGTGAACCTAAGCTGGCTTGTTTCCTGTGTTTGAAAAGCTGAACTGAAGCATGTGTAGCGTGGGTGGGCACTGTGGTGTGCCTACCTTACTGTGACCTCACACCTCACATGTAGTCCATGGCCTTTGAGTATTCAGTGCATAGGCTTCAGCAACTCTGCATACATGAATCAAGAAGTGCCTGTGTTTTAACACTAGCAGTGTAGTGATACACTGATGCAGTTGTCATTGTGCACATAGCCTTGGAGTGTTGTAACACCAGAAATCCTTGACTAAACCACCTCAAATTTGTGCAGCTTCAGAGCGGTTTGAAAAGCTGGTTTTAAACTGAAGCTCTACTATTAAGAAGAGTGCATGTGAAGCTTGCAGAATTTTTTTCAAAATAAATTCAGTATTTGAATTCTGTCTCTGGTTTCTGATTTCTGTAATATACAATTGCCAGACAGTTTTCAAGTATCATCTTCACAGCAACTGGTTGATACCTGCATTATCATTGTCACCAACTATGTCCTGAATAATCTTTTTGTTGTAAAGTCTCAGCTCTAGAAGAGTGCTCGGTGACTGTTCTTTTCTGCATTGTTTGCTCTTTTTTCCCAGGTTTGGAAATGATGTGCAGCACTTCAAGGTGCTTAGAGATGGGGCTGGCAAGTATTTCCTCTGGGTGGTGAAGTTCAATTCTTTGAATGAGCTGGTAGATTATCACAGATCCACGTCTGTCTCCAGGAACCAGCAAATATTTCTACGGGATATTGAACAGGTGCCACAGGTAAGAGAACCGTTTCTTCAGAGCATATTTGAACTATTGCAATCACAGTTTGAACTGGGATTGCATCTTAGGTTATATGAATGGGGATGGAGAAAAACTGACTTTTTTGCCTGTGGGAGTTTATTTTTGGATCTTGCTGCCAGTATACTGGAAAATAATCTGGATGTTTGTGCACAGTCTACCTGCTAAAACTCCTAGTATTCATTTCTGGAGGTGTTGTTGCTTGAATAGTTGGCTTGTGTTAATGTTTATGGGCACTGTTGAAGTAAGATAATCCAATTCCTGTGAGTTACGAACATGTTTACTTCTGGTTTAGGATACAGTAAGAAAGCATGGTTTTGTACTGGTTGGGATCCAGAACTGTACTCCTCAATAGCAGTGAAATTTTAGTAGTGGTCTTGCCTGAAGAAGTGGCTACAGGTAGTAGCATATGTTTTAAACTTGGCAAATGTAAAAAGGAACTGAAAAACTACTGCTAAGTGTCAGGTTGTGTCTGTCTTTTTGTTTCGTTTCCCAGGACATACAAAATGTTAGGTTGGATATAACTGCTTCTGTATGCAGTTATTCTAGTTCCATCTTGAAGAGATGTGGAAACTTGTACTGCTCTTTGGATGCTGTCAGCCTTTGCCACAGTTCATCTGAATTAACATATGGCTCTGTGCTGTTTAGTTAATGGTGAACAGAGAATGGGAAAAGAGCTGTTCGAAAACAGCAAGCAGCATGAAGATACCTTTCTAGACTCCATGTTTTAAGAATGCAAATGCATTTTTAAATGAATGTGTAACTTCTCTGTAGGAATAGAAGCATTTGGTGACAAAACACACACACTCTATAGCAAAACTTTCTAATACTGGAGCGGCTTAAAGGAAATGTACAGAACACCAACATCCAATTCTGCAGAAGAATTTTGTGTATTACAGCGGCTAGGTAGATCAGTAATATTAATGTTGTCATTTGATGTAGCAGGGCAAATGAGCAAAAAGACCATCATAATTCAGCGGAGTATGGAGTTTGTAGTAAGTTTTGGACACTGGAAAATAAATACTAGAACATCTGTGACATCTGGTTTTATTTTGCACTTTCACAGAAACCTGTTGTCTTAGTTTCAGCTGAGACAGAGTTGTTTTACTTCACAGTATCTAGTAGGGTTCTGTGTGTTGTTTTTTTTTTTCCCCCTGAAAACAAAAACAATAACACACCAGTGTTTCCAGTTGTTGCTGAGCAGTGCTGTACAGAGCCAAGGACACTTCAGTTTTCTTGGTTTCTCCTACTGTCCTACCAATAAGGGGATGCACAGAGAACTAGGAGGCACAGGGGGTCCGAGCAAATGAGAGGGGACAGAACAAGGACAGCTGACTTAAACTGGCCAAAGGGGTATTCCGTACCATATGATATCATGTGGAAGAAAAGTTTTTAAAGGGGTGGGCGTTCATCTCTTTCTTCTTCTGCTTGGGATCCTCCAGGCAGAGAAGATATCGATTGGCAGGTGGTGAGCAACTGCTTGTGCATCACTTGTTATGCATTCACATATGCATAGTCATTAACTATTATTCTTCTTCCTTTTTCTGTCTTACTAAACAGTTTTATCTCAACCAATGAGTTCTACTGTTTTTTTTTTTTTTCTTGACGCTCTCCCCCACCCCACTGGGAAGAGGAGGAGTGAGCAAATGAGTGTGTGATGCTTAGCCATCTGCTGGGTTAAACCATAACTTCTGGTTTTTGTTTTTTTCTTTCCCTTCTGTAGACTATACTTTTTAATTGTCTTGCTACAGATGATAAAGGTTGGATTTAAGGGAAATGAAACAGCCCAAATGTTCACTACTAAAATCTGGTATAAGTTAAAATCTTGCTTGAGGAAGCAGATGTCTTGAGTGCTGAGGATGATTCTCATTCCACACATCTTTATTTCTTTATTTTCAGCAACCAACGTACGTTCAAGCTCTGTTTGATTTTGATCCCCAGGAGGAAGGAGAGTTGGGTTTCCGCCGTGGAGACTTTATCCAAGTCCTTGACAATTCTGACCCCAACTGGTGGAAGGGAGCCTGCCACGGACAGACGGGCATGTTTCCACGCAACTATGTGACCCCAGTGAACCGGAACATCTAGAGATAAATATTACAGATTATTTAAAGAAACAAGAGAAACAGTAATTACATACAGAGCCTAACTGCAGCCAGTGACCTAAAATCACACGGCAATAAAACCTGAGTCACCTTTCACCGTGAGGTGATCCTCCTTCACAGTGTGGAACTTCAGGGGCTGAAGGGGTTGGGGGGAGGGAAGAGTTCAACTTACACACCAAAACTTATCAAAAAAGAAGAAGAAAAAAAAAAAAAAAAAAAAAAGAATTTCCTCAGCTGCTCCTGGGTTACTCCCTTTCATTTACTTAATGTTTCCCCTTGTCCTCTGTCCAGGCATGAAGTTTTAATGCCATTTAAAATTGTAGCCATGCAGTTAAAGGAAAAGGGAGAAACTCTGCTGGTATTTTCTCTCTGCAAATGGTTTATTTGTCATGAAGGGACATGAGAGGAAAACCAAATACACAGTCCTGCCTTTAAAAAAAAAAAATAATAATAATTTAAAAAGTCTCTGCTCTTGCCTTCAGCATTCAGCTGCTCTTGCCTGAGAAAGATGAGGTATTGCTCTAATTTTTGTCTCTTCTCCTTTGTCACTTTCTTCTGAAGCTCAGCAGCTTCCAAGCTGAGGAAGGGAGAAGAGTTGTGGATTTCTTTTTTTGTTTGAGTCACAGAGTTGCTTTCAGAAACTCCAAACTACAACCGAAGTTTGTTATTGCTGTGCTGATAGTCTTTTTGTTTCTTTTCTTAACTGTGTACGGTTGAGCACATTCTGTAATTTTTTCCATAGTGCCTTTCCCTTGTTTTTTTTTATTATTTTTTAAGTTAAAAGGACAGTCCAGAGCTTTTCAGAGGGCCTTTTTTTCTGCCTATGTGTAAATAAATACTTCTGGATGGAAGGTGTAAAGGAAGGGTGGCTTTGTCAATGGATACCTGAAAAAAATCTACAGAGATGGAGCTTTGTTCTAAAGATTTGACTTGTTCTTTGACTTTCCTTGTTACAGGGGAAAAAAAAAAAAAGGCATTCCTTGGCAGCTTGGGCTGCTCAAACATGGGAAGCTGAAACCAGAAGCCTCAAAAGATTTAAGAGAAAGGGGAAAGATATGACCAGGGAAAATGAGGAAGAATATTTGGGGGAGGGAAGGTTAAGTGGGGAATTTGAGAAAGAGTAGCCCTGAGATGTCCTACAAAATGTACATTCCGTTGATGGAAAATTATAATGCAGAAAAACCTCAAGAAACAGTGCTTGAAAACATTTTATGCTGTTAGTGAATGTTTCTATGTGATGCATGTAATCAACCTGTCTCTTTTGCCTGGATAAGGGAGTTATTTGCAGTTGTGTTGCTCTTGAAAAGTGGGGTTGGCATCACTGTTCTCCAGTTTCTCCTCCCTCTTCAGGTCAGTGTTACTGTTAGACTCCCCATTCACAGCAGGCTGTGTGATGACTATAATTCCCACCTTTTCCAATAATGGCCTTCATTGTGGCCATTTGCTCTTTCACCAGAGCAGTGTGACATTGAATTGGATAGAAAGAAATCAAACTGCATTACTCCCTGTGCCAATCTTCAGTTGTGTTATTTTTCCTTTTGAGAGCTACTTGGCTGGATCCCTTCACTCCAACAACGAATCCAGAAACTGCAGTGGAGAGCTTCTCCTGTCCTGCCTAAGTACAGGCAGTCGTTTGTTGGAGGGTGCCTTTTTTGTACTAAATGTTATGTTTTATTTCTGAGACAAACTCTGCCTTACACTTTAATTTTCCAGCAGATTAAAGAGAGAGCTATCCTGTAGAGCATTACTTTCTCCCCCTCTCTTTGCTAGCTGTCACTCACTTCCTTCTTCATAAAGTGATTGGAAGAAGAATCTATGGCATTCTATACCTGGACCATTTGATTGTTTCCTTATTTTGGAATTGGTGTATATCATGCAACCTTGCAGACATATGTCTTGTGTGTGTATATATATTAAAAAAAAAAAAATCAGTGTTTAAATAAAAAAAGGCCTATGTACTTAATCCTTTAACTCTGCAGCAGCATTTGGTAGATAGTAATTAACTGTGAATAATAAATATACATTGAATTCTTCACTTGGGCATTTGTCTGTTATTTCATCTGACCAGAATATAGCTGATAAAGCTAATCTGTAAGTGCTCAGACTTACTGGCATCATGATTGGTTCTCAGCATGCCTACCTAAATTCACTGCTCTTTTGGTCTAAGCCAGCCACAATCCATGTAACTTACACTATTGCAAATAGTAAAGAAAGGGGAAAGGAATTTATTGGTTCACTGTCCAGTAGGAAAGCAGTGAATCTCTTAGCAGAATTTGGAGTGGCACTTAAACACTTCTTCCTTTTTTTTTTTTTTTTTTTTTAAGCTCTTCCTAACCTGTGGTGCTGACCAATGTAGTAAGGAGGCAGTAAAGAAGAGTGGTATACTAGTTATTTCTGGAGCATCTCGCTGAAGGACAGAGGGAAGGACAAGCTTCTGTAAGAATAGTGGCTTCAGCTCAGACTGCCACATGAAGGTTAGCTCTGCTTGGTCAGTGCCACTTGTCACTTGTTTTTTTTCTTGTTGCATAAAGCAATGGAAGTGATGGTTCTAATGAGGTGCTCGGTGTTACCTTTTGGCAGCTGCTACTCTGAATCTGCATCTCCTCCCAGCCTTATGTCCAGACGGTGCCTCTCGGCTAGGCACTGGGTTTTAAAATACGAAAGGAGAACATCTGCTGATTAAACTGTGTTGTAACAATTCCTCTTACTGATGCTCAAATGCAGACGTAGTCGAGATGTACCAATGACTCCATTATTTTCCTATTTGTTCCACTACAATTTTTAAATAAATGCGTAGTAGGGGTTGTACCTTTGGCACTTCTATTTTACAATGCTGAAGCTGGATCAATGGCTCCGAACTGTTACTCATACTTTGAGCCTCTAGTGAAAAGTTGAGCGAAGCTTTCTTTCCTTCTGATCTAAGGAGGAAAGAAGAATGTTTGTTGCTGCTGTGATGGCACATAGGGAAGAGTTATTTTCCACCTTGGCTGCCCCAGATGCCAAAAACGCTGTAAGTACAAAAACCCACTATCCCAGCTACCTTTTCGCGGGCCCCTACGCTGTTGCTGTTCTCGTGCTGCCTGCTCTGCGCAGCCTTTGCTCTCGTTCGAGAAGCGCAGCGGTACGTGGGGGCGGCCGGGCCGCCGCTCCTCTCGGTGTTGCTGGGGGCCTTGTGGGACTACAACTGCCAGCGTGCCCCGCGGTGCGCAGGCGCAGTACGGCGGCCTGCAGGCGGCTAACGCCGGCCTGGGCCCGGCGCGGCTGCGGCCAACGGCTGCACTCGGATCTGCGTCCCGCGCTGCTCCGGCGTACGATACGGGGCCCGTGGAGCGAGGAGAGGCTGTTTTGGGACGAGGGGGTGTCTGCTGGGGCCCCCGGCCTGAAGAAGGGGTGGGAAGGTGGTGAGGATGTGGGGCTCTTGGCCCCTGGCGTGAGGTGCGGTTTTGGTGTAGGGGGTTTGGGGCCGTAGAGCCCCAGCGCGGGAAAGCAGGGCTCCTACTGACACTGCAGTGACAGCAGGCAGGCATGGTCGGCTATGACCCAGAGGCAAAGTGCGTCTCCACGGTGGAAGCAGCTGCAGCAGGATCAGCATCGGGCTTCGTCACTCGGGTCCTGATCAGCCCTTTGGACGTCATCAAGATCCGCTTTCAGGTACCTGACTTGCTGGGGGACGCGTCTGTCACAGAGCAGAGCTCGCTGTCCTGTGTGACCAAGGTCACCTCAGCCAGGGCAAGATGAATCTGCCTTTGTGGATGCTGCACGCGATTCAAGGCAGTAGGACTGAGCTGAGGCCAGCACTTCTCTTTGTGTAACCTGTATGCTTGAATGACATCTTGTGTTTTTCACAGTTTGTTCTCTTTTCCTCATCTAAACAATCTCGCTTAATGAATTTCTCTATCATCCTTATTGGCTACTTTAATGTGGTATGCATGTTTCTTGTTCTTCAAAGTCCTGTATAGAAAGTATCCCACTTGGTTCTACATGCGATTTTGAGGGAACACAGAATGTCTTCACTCAGCTTTGGTTGGCTATTGGGGTTATGAATTTCTGCATGGGACACTTGAACCTTGTTGAATCATGATGTGGAATTGAAAATATTTTCTGTTTTCCTCCAGCTTCAAATTGAGCGGCTCTCCTTCAAAACTCCAGGGGCTAAATATCATGGCATCTTGCAGGCTGCACGGCGTATATTCCAGGAGGAGGGGATATTAGCCTTCTGGAAGGGTCATGTTCCTGCACAGCTCCTTTCAGTTGGCTATGGAGCAGTTCAGGTAAGATGATACTAGATGGGCTCGGTGTTTGTATGGACATTTTTTCTCTTCAGACTGATAGAATGAGCTGATGCAGAAAGGTCCAGCTTAATAGGACTGATTCAAGACAACTCCAGTCTCAAATATGTGTAGTTAAATAATGTTGGTGTCTAGTTCTTAAGTTAATACTTCCAAGCTTCCTGAACGCAGCTTAATTCTGCTTGGCCAGTGTGGAGCAAAGCAAAAGCAATCTCAGTTCACTGAGTACCCTGGTGTCACAGACAAGCCCTGCTTGTTCCTGACACTTCTCGTAACTGTTTATATGAGCCAAGCATGTGTAGTTCTTTGCTTTGATTCACATTTTCCTAGCAAGCTGTAAGGGCAGTGAAGTCAGTGAGGCTGATGACAGCATTTTGCACAGTGTTGCTATGCTTAATTTATAAGTATTAGCAGCGTGTTTTATGATCTCTGGTTGAAAAAGTAATGGGCAGCATGTATGTAATATAGTAAACAATTTTCAATATATAGAGAGAGCTTTAAAATATGTTTTTTGCAGTTCTAAATGTAAGATGTACAGGAAATACCAGAGATCACGATACCCCAAGCATTCTTCAGGCTGCTCAGTGACTTTTACAAGGCATTCTTTGAGCACATGCTCCAGTAGGTTGCAAATTGAAGAACTTTTGAAGGATAGAGAGAGGAGGTGGTTGTAAGCTGTGGGTGGAGCTCTTAGTAAAATGAAAGAGTGGGAGATCTGCATCAGTGATAAGAAATGACTCCTTGACCTCTGCATGTTTGTTTCTGCAAGTTCATGGCATTTGAAAGCTTGACCAAACTGGTGCACAACATCACCTCATACAATGCCCGCAATTCCTTTGTGCACTTCATCTGTGGTGGACTATCAGCTTGCACAGCCACTGTTGCAGTTCAGCCTGTTGACACACTACGTACTCGTTTTGCTGCTCAGGGTGAGCCTAAGGTATGGTTAAGGATTTGATGTTTGGAATTACAAGCCATAGCAGCAGCAGCAATATTTCATTTCTGAGAATACAGGAAGTTTGAAACAGTCTGTGCTAACAGTGGGTCAGCATAAAGGAGAAGTTGCTCTTACTGGGCAATGTTTGTGTTGCATGCAGGGTATCCTCCGTACAGTTGATATAGCTTCTTTAATTGTGTTTTGCTGATCCTGTTTTTGTTTGACTTCTGACAGGTGATGCAGAAAGGTAAAGTTGTCCTTACAAAGATAACTCAATTTTCATTTTGGCTATTGGCCAGTTGGAGAAAATAATCCTTAGTCCGTGGTGCTTCACATGTTTGACTTTCGATTTACATGCAGTGAAGTTTAAGTCATGATGAGGATGATAATTGGTGCCTTTTACCTGTGTTTCTTAATCTTACTTATACAAGAGTTGGTCTCCATGCTGATTAGGTCTGTAATAATTAGACACATATGAATTTGTATTGGAACCGTTTCTGGTTTTTGTTTTAGCTTGCAGTAGAATCACAGTATGTATTGTCTGAATTCTGTTTCAGGAGCAAGCTGAGCTGTTAAATAGCAAATTAAATAATTACATCAATGCTTCAAGTGGTCTCAGTCCACAGCTCAGCCCTGTGCCTCATTTGTTTCCCTCAGAAGCATGGCTTAGATGTGGGATTCATTGTCAGCCCAGGCTCTAGTGCAGACCTAACAATCTGTTTGTTCAATTAGTCTAAGTTAGGCATAGGCTTAAGTTGTCAGCTTACTTATAAGAGCCACAAGGGTTTAGCTGAGAATACTGCATGAAGATATACGAAATCATTTTGTTCATTGCACTGTGCTGAAAATCAGTCAGTTGTATTTTAGGCAAAAGGAAGTTCTTATACTCTTTACTTACAAGTATCCTAACCTTTGATTTTGCTGTTTCTAAGCCTCTTTCACTGGCAAGTCAATGTCTTCTGTGTTGTCCAGATCTATCAGAACCTTCACCATGCAGTGATGACCATGTACCAGACAGAAGGGCCTCGGACTTTCTATAGAGGTCTGACCCCTACAATCATTGCTGTCTTCCCATATGCTGGTTTCCAATTCTCCTTCTACAATATTCTGCAACAGTTTTCAGAACGGATGATTCCAGATGAAGGAAAAGAAGGAGGTAAGTACTTAACATAATTAAGTCTGTGATATTAAAAGAAAGTAATCGTAAATGTTGTTTAGGGGGACTGACATAAGCTCAGTATTCATTCCTATCAACTTTTTGTATGCAACCTCTTAAAAGCATCTGAATTCCCCATCTCATTCGTAACCCTGCAGGGATACTCCAGACGTATGTGGAATTAATTTTTCAAGCACCTTTTTGAATGGTTTCGAATGGTCATGAAGGAAATGTAACTAGATGGGAAAGTGAAGTGTCAGCAGCCCAAGGTGCTTTTTCTTGAGCTGGTGGCTGTTTCTTTTGTGCACTGCCACTTGGTAGGTCAAAATCATAAATTAATGTAATCAGTGTAGGTGAGCTGTTACACTCTGGCTCCAGAGTGGGCATTGGGACCCCAGTGTGGAAGAATATAGATTGAGGTTCAGTAGTCAAACTATGCAGAAAAAATGGTGTAACTTCACAGTGTTTCTGGCCTTCCTTCTTTTAAAAAGCATTTTAATTTACTTTTAATAACTTTTCAATCTGAGGTCACTGCTAATCCTCTTTTCTCCCTCTTTGCTGTGTTTTCCTCTTTCTGCTTCTCAGGCAATGTTAAAAACCTTGTTTGTGGCAGCTGTGCTGGAATCATCAGTAAAACCCTCACTTACCCTT